CAGTCACGGAGGATCTTAGCTGCTCCTGATATTCATTGTCCGTTAATTAGAAGAGTTAATCCCATATAAGACTTGTAGTTTGCTAGGAGTACATGGTAGTTAGCAACTCCGCATTAGAGACTTTGAGGAATATACTTTCTCTGACAAAGTCTAGTTTCTCAGGATCCTATTCTCTGATCATCAGCCAAGTTTGTTCTGAATTTTCCTGTGCAGCTTGGACTATGACCCAAGGCACTGGAAAAGTTACTCAAATCCCTTTGCCAGCACCTGATATCTCCTATCTGCATGTTGGAAGCTTTACAGTTGCTGCCTTGTGAAGGGGATGCTTACTTCCGTATTTTTGCAACCCATAGCCTCTCAAATTTGCATGACTTACCTCCGTGAGCAGGCTGAGAGAGGTTCCATGCTCCTGAGAAAGCCTTGCTGTGGCAGAGCTGTGGCTTCAGACAGGAATCAAGACTCCCACCCAGCTTGTCCAACTCAAAGCACCACACCCTGCCATTAAGAGCTTGCCCTCTGATGTTCCAGAAAAGCTGCACCTCTTAGATTTTGCTCCAGGCTTGCAGAGCTATTCCTAGAGTTGTGGTGGGAGCAGAGAACTTGCTAGATAGATGCTGTACTGGAGAAACCAGAAAACTACACCCTTAGTGCTCTGATCATCTCTAATCTGAGGAGAGAGAGACCAGTGCTAGAAGATTACAAAAATCAGAGAAATACGAGTAAAAATGTAAACCAAGTGGATGGGACAAAATGAGTTCCAGCAAAAGTAGCATAGTTTCTGGTGGCCTGAGTTTAAAGGCAGGCTTCAGTTCTCGAACCTCCAGCAACGGTGGAGTGCCTCTGAATTCCAGCTGAAAGGCATTACTCATTTGTGTGAAGGAGAAGCTGTGCAGCACTAGACATTGTTTCTGCTATGAGCTCTTTACTGTATCTAACCACAAAAACAAAACAAAAAACCCACACACCACACAAACTTACATTAAGGCATTTTAGTGCTAGATATGTGATCAGGTAAAAATCCTCAAACTTTAAGCTCAGTTCCAAATCCCTTTCATCTTCCTACTTTAGGAAACTGCACAGAAACAGATCAACTTGATGTTTAATCTGATTTTTACTTTTCTTGTTTGTTTATTAAGTTTGTTTTTGAATGAAATTCTTAGTCTACAGAAGTTGACAAATAGGACTTAATACTTCTATTGACAATTGTATCTACCTCAATTTACCTTAGAATGTATATTTGCAAACATATACATTAACACCCAAGCAATTTCTTTTGTACTCGCTGTATAGCTCAACCACCTTTCAAATTTCAGTTAGATATAACTTTTTTTTTTGGACAAGCAAGTAAGGTGTGCTTTTCCTTAAGTCACCATCATTATGATTTTTTACCTACAGATTAATGACTGGCTGGCAAGTTTTTCTGACCATTCTTCCAGACCGGTATGCACTGTTGAGATTTTAAGCTTTTTTTTTATAATTAGTTGGAAGATTTGGTCAGGCATGTTAAGATCACTGTAATAGTTTAAGATATAGTTAATACAGATTTTTAGTGAGAAAAAATCCCATTTGAAAGTCTAAGAACCCTGGTTACCTTTGAAATGAAAAAAGGGGAGCAAAGTAATTTTATAATTTTGTGGTTATTTCACTTTACGAAGATTGCAGCCACATTATGCTCAATGTGTCTAAACAATAGATGCAATCTATTCATTAAAAACCACAGTAACTAGTTTTTCAAGCTCAACTATATTTAAACGTTCAGATTCTATGCATTATAATCTGTAACAGCAAATGCAATTTCTTTTTAAAATTTACAAAAAAAATTATGACACAGTAGGTATCAATATGTTTTCCCCTCTTTACAACAGCCCAATTTAAATGGATATTTTTAGTGGTTTCGAGTTCACTTTTGAAATCATCAGAAAACCTATTGTAAGATTTGCTCTTGAGCCCGCTGTGATATGTTTACAAAAGCCAGTAAGTGGAGAGACTGAAAGGATAACCTGTGTCTTGTTTTAAGAATGGGAAATCAAGCTATGCTTTCAGGTTGGAATTAATGTGTTTTCATGTTGTACTTCTGAATACATTTGTTCCTTCTGGATTTAGCTACTCCTCCCATATGTCGGCCAAGATACTGTCAATGGTCTATTACAGTGTTTCCCAAACTTGGGATGCCGCATTGGCCTGGAGCAGTGAACCGCAGCCAGTGGGAGCCGCGCTCGGCCGAACCTGCGGACAGGGCAAGTAAACAAACCGGCCAGGCCCGCCAGGGGCTTTCCGTACACAAGCAGCGTCCCAGGTTTGGGAAACACTGGTCTATTATAAAGATTTGGGTTTTGTTTTTGTTTTTTAAACTTTTACTATACCACTGAGGTAACTAATTTCCTAGACTAAACTATACCACACCACTGAGGTAACACTTTCCTAGAGTGGCTCACATGTCACTTTTTCCCCCACGATATCCAGTGTTAACTGGTGACATGTGAGCTCAAAAGGCAACACTGGACTTAAGTGTTAAGTTAACTTAAAAGCAGTTCAGGTACTGCTGAACTGCTTTTATTTCAAGTATCGTTGCACATATCTTGTCATAGTTGAGTTTTGTGAAATTCAATGCTGTAATCATAGACTGATTCACACTTAATGGGGATCGTCAAGCAGTTGAAGATTCTGCAGCAACTTTATTTTAGTGTACTGTTTAAAAAAGTTCAAGTTTAATCTTTCTTGCAATGCTGCTAACAGGACAAAAATTTGTATTCATGCCTGAGAGATGTGTAGTATAAGTGAGCTGTTAGTTTTATTGATAAAATGCAAGGATTCACTTGAATACAAAACCATTTCAATTTTTCAAGAGTTTTCATCTTCAGTAACTTAAAGTGCTATAGGTAAAGCAATTTTTAAAAATGTTTTTATGCCATTAAGGTAGGTTAAAATAAAAAGTTACTGCAAAAATCATGATCAGAAAGCATCAGTAACTCTAAAACATCAATGCTTTTAATTAAGTTAAAATCTTTTCCTTTATATACCTTGTATGTCTACTTCCAGCTGATTTCTTCTGCAATAGTTAACAAGCAACTGAACAGATTTAAGGATTACAGTTCCCATTCATATATGTTAGGTATTCTTGTCATCAATTCTTCAAAGGACTAAAATAGTTCTGAACTACCATTTTAACAAAATAACCACCTCTGTTTAAATGGTTTATTTGATTTTAAATACATAGGAATGTTTAAAAACCTTAATAGGTTTTGTACAGTTTTTCCAAAGCTTTTTAGTTAACCTTTCCAATTAAGCATTAGCTGTCTTCAGTAACATAACAGTTCAACTAAGACAAAAAAGCAGAGTATAACAGAACAATTTACAGGTGATTTATTCTCAAGAAGATAACTGATACTTAGGACAAATTTATTTTTGTGTCACCGAACTGTATATACATACTTATGAGCTTCTTCAAATGTTATTTTCATAGGGTTTTTTAACACTGCATTATTTTGCATAATGTTTATACAAATTTAGTTACAAATATTGAAATTCCATCTTTGACAGTATTGTTTGAATTCTCCCCAAGCCAGATTAAGGCGTTCTGAGTTCAATATTGCTCACCTTTTCCTCCTATTCCCATTGGATTATAGTCAACCTGCTCTGAAACATACCAGCATGTGCCACGCTGCTATGAAGTACTGAAGCCTGCTCAAGTATGTAATTGGTATACAGAGTGTGTGACCTCAAATGTTTTACATGTACATTGTTTGGTGCCATCTTGCTCAATTTCATTCTCCATTCACAGCCTCCAAGAAGGATAATTTTTCTGCTCCAATAGCCAAAGAGGCACTTACTTTACTACTCACTCTCCGTGGTCTACAGGCTGAATCAGTAGTTATCACTTGCCACCAGTATAGTAGCTACTGAGATAAGAATGGATTCAGACCTACCATGAAGATTGGCCCTCGAGAATGTAGAAAGAATATAATGAATTTATAGTTAATGTTCTGAATACTGCTACCACCCGTTAATTGAAACATTTGTAACTATTGATTACATTAAGTAATTCCATTTAATTTACCCCCATCATCATGATAATATTATAATGTTAGGTCTCAGCTCTACTTTTGATGCTATTACATATCTTCATTAAGCCATGGTACCCTTTCAATATGCTGCTATACTCAAAGGAACATATACTATGTTAATATGGCACTTCTGTCTGCTACTGAGATTCTTTATCATAGCCAGCACTCTAATAAGTGCTTTCCTGATTTAAATACTAACAAAGTCCGCCAGCAGCTGTGGCAATACCCCACCCACAAGAGACCACCACACAGATGGGAAGGGGCAGGTGGAGCAATGTGCTCTAACCATTTCTGCCCCCTGTAATTAGATTTATGCTTGCTTATAGGAGTGTATGAGCAGTGAGAGGCATCACTGTTATTCTGACCAGCTCAGCTGAGGATAAAGGAATAAAACCAGACTCCCTCTCCCTCAGGAAAGTGTTTTAAGTTTGGGTTTTATAACATTTCTTTTCTCCCCCTAACTCTGCAATTTTATTTAATTCCTTACCAGCTAAAATCTCTTCCATTAGTCAACTCATCTCAAATTAGGTAGCATGGATGTTGTCAACAATGCTGTCTTCACCAAAGAGGGAGGGAAACACTTGCTCTTAGGAGGCGTAGGGTTTACTTCCTTATCTTTACCACCATCACTTAGAGCTGGTATAGAGTCTCAGACACTACTGTGGTCCTTTTAATTACTACATTTACAGACAGCATGCATGACACAACAATGATATTAGCCCCTTGAAATAGTATCAGTACTAGTAGGGTAATGTTTATTTCCATTTGTCCTTCCCAGTTTTATATTACCTTTAATCAAAGACTGAGTTTTAGGTAACCTGTTATATAACATGGCTAAAAAAAAAAACAACACACATTCAACTAGATACCTAGTCCAATTTCTGACACAGTATTTTAACAAAGCATATTAGGAAGGGAGAAACAACAACAACTCACCCAATATGTAGATCGTCTTTTGATCACTTCTTTGTCCAAGGGAATTGGTCACCTTACAGACATAAGTCCCAGTATAATTGTAAGTCAATGGACTGTTGAAATGCAGAGTATTATTTGAAGATATTAAACCTTCAGGCCATTGCCCATCCAACCTGAATTAGACAATATTTGGAAGCAGTGTAAGCATTCTCAGAATTTACACAATGAAATTTAAATGCAAAATGTATTATCTGAAAAAGTTCAACTATAATTATTTTCTGTTTAAAATAGCTTGCTCTGTGGAATGCAATTATTTTGGTATATTATTAAAGCCCTTTCAGTTAAAGAAACAATATCCATGTCAAGTCAATTTATTTGTTTCTATTACAAGCCTGTTGGAATTTTGAATCTTTTACTCCTGGGAGAATTCTGTGCCACTGTGCATGCGCAGAATTTATGTCCCCCCGCAGATTTCTTTGTTTCCCTGCAGATAAACGCCTTTCTGATGGGAGAAGGAAAGCCATAAGAGCGGTCACGCAACCCTCCCCAGCAGTACGTTTCTCAGGGCAGCCGGCAGAGGTAAATCACTGTGGGGAAGGTGGCAGGACCGGGGAAGACCCAGTTGGTGGCTCCGATCCCGCGCCTGGCTCAGCTGCTAATCCCGGCTGGGCTAGGGAGAACAGGCCTTCCTCTTTCTCTGCATGGCATCTGGGGTCATGTCAGATCCACCCCCAGATTTCTCCCCCGGCTGTAGGAAGCTCTGCAAACTCCCTCCTCTCCCCCTACCGCCCCCCATACTTCCTGTACCCATCGCTCCTCAGCTGCAGAGGGAGGGATCACCGTACAGGGAGCTGCTCCCCCATCCACCCAATCCCCGTGCATCCAGACCCCCTTATATCCAGAACCCTCCCGACTAGGCCCACTCCCCCTGCACCTGGACCACCCCAACAACCCACCTGCACCTGGATCCCCACCCCACCAAGCCCCAACCAGCTGCACCTGGATCCCCACCCCACTGAACCCAACGCCCCCAGCATCTAGATCACCCCATTAAGCCTCCCCACCGAGTTTTATCACCCCCACCTCACACAGAGCCCCCTACCACCTTCACCTGGACCCTTCTGCAGAATTCCATTAACATTTCACCCAGAACCCACCAACAAGGCCCTGGGCATCCAGATGCTCCCTGCACCCAGATCCCCCACTAAGCCTCCTGCACTCAGATTGCCCCACACAGAACCCTCTCAACCCACACTTGGATCCCCCCACATTAAGCCCCTCCACACTTGGATCCTGCCTGCCCACACCTGTGGCACCTGGCACATAGGGGCAGGGCTCTGGGGTGTTTCGAGGGCACACCTGGTCCTTGCACTATGTCACGGCTGGGTAAAGCCTCACCGTTGAGTCAGTGTCCTGGGGAGCAGGTGGAGCTGCACAGTGATCTTCCACCTCTGTGCAGCCAGTGACCTGTGCTCCCCATGTCATGCTGGAGCCTCCACATTTGACAAATAAAATTTGCAGAATTTTAAAATATTGTGTGCAGAATTTTTTGGCGCAAAATGCCCTCAGGAGTAGTCTTTTGTGCTCTTCTGCAGGTTTATAGGCTGTGAATAAATTATCTTCCTTCTTTTTCAAGTAAGGATTGGATGGACACATTTTCCAAAAACTATTCCAAGAATGAGCAATCTTAAAACAGACCAACTTAATCACCAGTTTAGCTCCAAATCACACCAGTGGAATTAAGTTAAGGAATAACGTGGTCTGAAACTAAAGCAAAGTTCTGTCAAATTTTTAATAAAAGACTTCTTACTAGTAACAATATGGTTTTACTGCTAACAACACAATTTAACTAATTCAGTCCTTCAAATCACCATTACTGGAAGTCTGAGACTCAAAGTCAGGATAATACATTTGGGCTTAATAAGACTTGAATTTATGTCTCAGGATTTATCTGAAAGTTTAGACTAGGGAGCAATATTTTAAGAAAAACAGATGATTGTAGAAACAAAGTTACAAAGCCTAAAGGACCACCTACAGCTCCTTATCTTGTTAGTACAGGCAAGGTTGATGCAAGTGAAAATGCCTGTCTTCCATACTATCTATAGAGAAAGAGACCAGGACTAATATCAAGGGCCTACAACTCAAATGTGTGGAGGAGGAAGAGCTTTCTGAGTATATTTGCAGCATTCAATGTAGTGCTTAATACTAACTCATTTGTATCTTGAACAGCCTGTATGATTTCATATATGTATTGGCTCTGCCACCTGTTTTTTGTTAATTTGCTGAGAGACTTTCATTTAGGGGCACCTTTATATGATCCTTCACTGCTAATTAAGAAATCAGATGGTTTCAGGGCATAGAAGGGTTACAACTAACCAAAAAGGAGAGGAGAGGTTACTTACCTTGTACAGTAACTGGAGTTCTTTGAAAGGTGCCCCCATTCTTCCCATGGGTGCTCCACATCAGGATATGCGCATGCCCTTGTTCTCGATAGGAGTTTTCAATCAGCAGTGTCTATGAATCCACATCGGAACCCTAAACACCTTGTGCCTTGATTCAAGAATATATAAGGAGGGGCACACCCAATGCCAGTGCAGTTTCTCCTCAACCACTAATGTTTCAAGAAAGACTCCGAGACAGAGGGGAAGGACGGTGAGTAGAGGCACACCCTTAGGGACATACCTCTGGAAGAACTCCAGTTACTGTACAAGGTAAAGAAAGAGGAGAGATTACCTGAGTAGTGTCCCTAGGGGTGCTCCATGTCAGCAGACTCCCATCATGGAACGGGTGCAGAGGAAGTGGATTCAGTATGGATCACAGGACAACATCAAAGGCCATGTCAGTCCTGGAGGCAGGCATGAAAGAGGGTAATGCTGGTAAAACATGGGTGACAAAGACCAGGTGGCTGCCCTGCAAATGTCTGAAATGGGTATATATTTGAAAGGGGCTAGATTGAGACCTGGTGGAATGAGCAATAACTCAGGGGAGGAGGGTGGATTAACAATGAAACTTCATAGCATAAGAGGATGCAACCTGCAACCCATTTGGGTAGACTCTGGGTGCAGATCAGATGTCCCCTTTTATTCCTTCTGCAACAGAGATGAAAAGTCTACGGGAAACCCAAAAGGGCCTACTCTTGTCAAGGTAAAAGCCAAGAGTTCTTTTAACACCAAGTGTATGGTGGCTCACTACTTCTCTCTAAGAGCGAGGCTTGGGGTAAATACCGGTAGGTTAATCTCCTGCTTAACATGCAATTCAGAAGAGACTTAAGAAGTAAGTCACCATCTTGGTAGAGCACTGTATTTGGTGGGTCCACCATCAAGGTTCCAAGCTCTTACCCTCCTGGTCGAAGTAATGGTTAGAGGAATAAGGTCTTAAGGGCCAATTGAATGAGGTAACAACACTCCATAGGTTCAAATGGAGGTTTCCTCGAAGCATTGAGAGCTAAAAATGAGGTCCCATGCTCGTGTTAGTTCCTGGATAGGAGAGAAGAGGTTGAATAGGTTCTTGATAAATTTTGCAGTGCAGAACCTTTGTATGGGAAGGTGGTCCTTGCCTACCACAAAGCACAGGAATTGCTTGGGTGAGGGATGAATGGTGACATGGAAACAAGAATTCTGAAGGCTGAAGGAGTAAAGCCTCCCAGACAGAGAGAATTATTATTCCTAGGGTCATATTCTGAACTATCAGGAGCAGATGGAGATGTTTTAAGTCCTGAGGTCCAGAATTGGTGCCCCCCCCCACACACACACACACACCTCATTTTTCTTCTGGACAAGAAAATACCAAGAACAGAATTCTATCCTGATGAAACAGAATCCTTTCTCAATAGAGTCTCACAGAACAAGTTCAATTTCCCCCCTGAGCCAGGAGGAATTTTACCTCTTGCCTTAAGAAGTCTTTGTGAGAAGAGTCCCTAAAGAGGAATGGGGTGGTAAGGAGCTGGACTGGATGGAGAAGCCTGTGAAAACTGGACTGATGGATCCTAGAAGCAAAGTGATGAGCTCCCAGAAAGATAGGTAATAGAAGAGAGAATCCCCATAAGGGTGGGAGGGGAATAAGTGCAATATAAGATCCACAGCAAGTAGTAGTTTACCACCTTCAACCAATGGGTCAAAACAGACACTTTGAAGAAGTCACTGGCTGGGAGGTTGCTGAAGATGCCTAGAGAACTTAGTTCTTCAGAGAATGGAGGGACCCATCCTGGTTGTCACTCAACAACTTGGGGGGCCCTCAAAATGAAGGTCCTCTATAGTATTTTGTACCTCCCGGAGAGGCCTGAAGACCGCAGCCAGGAAGCTTGGCACATAACTACTGCCATAACCATAGAACATAGAACTGACAATTGCACAAAGCCTGGAGAGATGCCTTGGCAACTGTTTGACCCTCTGTAATGAGGGCCTGAAATTGTTCTCTCTGCTCCTGAGCCACAAATGCAATAAGATGAAAATTTTTAATAAAGTGAAGTCCCATTTAGCCACCAGGGCTTATTAACAGGCCACTCTGAACTACCAGGAGGCCAAGTAGCAGCTCTTACAACCCAGCAGATCCAATCATTTCAGCTCCTTGTCCGATGATGTTGAACAGGACTAATGTGGTCTGTTCCATTTGTTAGCAGCCTTGACCACCCGAGAATAAATACTGAGCCTCTGGGAGGGATGTAATACTTTTTGTAGACTCATCTATACAGAAGTGCAACAGTGGCTGAAGTTCACTGCACTTAGAATAGAATAAGCAAAGCTTCACAGATGGGCAAGACAATCTTGCCCTGAGGTGAATGTAGGTTATCCAACAAGGAGTATCAGGAAATCCAACTCTCCTTTACCAGGACTTGTAAGGTGCCTCCTACCCTTTTCAGGAATCTTGAAAGGCCTTAAAGTCACTAGGACAGGATGCCAAGCTAGGCATGACCCTCATCTGCTGAGCAGGATTTGCAGGAAGGTGAGGTTTCTTCCTCTTCCACTGGTTCCTGCTGTAGAGGATGTGTCTGTGGAGCACAACCTAGATGCACTGGTTGATGTTCCTGAAACAAATTCTTGAGATAGCACCTTGCGTAACAAGGGTTGCCATAAGAAGCCCATGGGTTCCAGCAAGCGCACTGTGATGGGGCATAAAGAAATAATGCAAGATGCCAACGTTATCCTTGCTACGGTAACCGGTGTATTTCTTGCTATGAGCTCCTTCTTCAATGTCAGTTTCTAGGGAGAAGAGTTGGAAGGTGGAGGAACCTCGTATAGACACCTCTGAGTCAGAGGAAGTTATCCAAATCAGGGTGGGGGGGGGGGAAATGGTGTAGGTATTGATAGTCAGACTGATACGGGGCCCTAGAAGGAGACCTGCACATGCATAAATATTGGGGTTAGAAAGAGGTTTGTGAGGCAGTTCCAGAGAATCTTGTAACAGTGCCAGCTTGAAATAGCTCTCAAAGAGCCTGAATGGGGACGGTGTCAGTACCAGAGGGTGAGTCACCATAGAAGAAAAAGGATGGAGGGTAAGCAAGCTCAGAGAAATGAGTTGGTACCAGTGGGGAGTATCTCTCAGTACCTTTCAATAATGGTGATTTGGGCTCTGAGGATTCAGAGGTCTTTGTGAGATAGGAGCTTGGACAGTACCGGGACGTCTGGATGTTTTCCCTCAGGAGTAAGCATATGGGGTGGTGCGAGACGCAGCACCAGAATAGGTATGGTACACTTTTCACTTCTGGCGATGGAAGACTGTACCAATAAGGACTTAGCCTTCAATTTGACATTCAGAAGCAGAGTCAGATGCCAGTGTCAGAAATTCTCTAGATAACCTCTAGGTATGCTACTGCAGGAAAGGGAGCCTCAGCAAGATCTGTGTTTGATGAGGTCTTTGGGACCCAGATCAAGGAGGTGACTTTCCCTTTTTTGTCTGATTCTGGAGAATGGGATCTTTTCTTGGAGAGTCTGGGTTCTTTGGTTACCACCAAAGCAGAGCTCAATGGACCCAATGTATTGGGGGGTGACTCACGCCATGGATCTCAGAGAGCACGCATAAATAGGAATGTACGTTTTTCCTACCTCAATTTTTTAGATCTGTTTTTAAATCTTAAGTAGACTTCACATTTAGAGGGAATGTGGATTTCTCTCAAGCAGCAGACAGGCAGGTTGAATCTCCATCACTGCAAGGGAAGGACTTGTGGCACATATGAAAAGGTTTGAAGTCCAGGGTCTTGGGCATAACCCACACGTGGGCTGTGGATGAGGGCTGGGGGACCAGTGGGGGAGGAGGGGAGAACCCAGAGGCGAGAAGGGGTGAACCCTCTCAAAGCCTGAACTTGTGCTAACTAAAAAAACTAAAATGAAAAAGGCATAAGAAAGCAAAGGGTAGCCAGCTGCATAGTTCAGTTACTGGACACTGACACTCTTGCAAGCCACAGGGAGTTTATTGGGGTATGAGGGTGTCTAGGCTTTAGGTGCAGACCTGCTGATACTACTGACAAAAATCTCTGATCAAGAGTGCATGGCAGGCAGAGTATAGTGACGTAGAGCACCCACAGGGACACTACTCAAAGAAGAATGCGTGTGTGTTATTCCCATGAGTAAAGTGTCAATCTGCCATGCAACGTCACATGCTGCAAGTACTTTTCATGAACAATACCATAGAAATTCAGTATGTACAGTGAATGAACATCCTCAGACATTCTTTCACTTGAGATCTTGTTGACTATAGGCCAGTCACTGCTAGACAACTGTAGAAATGGTTTTATTTCTGCAGCTTAATAGCTATCCTGCTTGCCAATCTCACAAAATCTGCCCACCATACGAGTCAAATGGCTAAACAGTCACAAATCTTGTTTATTTTAAGTTACTTTTCATTGTACATGGATTTTTGTCATTTCATTGCAGGAACACAACACGCTGCCGCAATACACATGCATTTGTCTTCATCTTCCCAGCCAAACAAGGATTCATTAACCTCGCTATGTACAGATTTGTCCATCTACTTCCAGGTTATTAAGATTGCTCAGCATGTGTTATTACTATTATTAACAATAGTACATACCCCCTTCACATTAAAATTCAGTGAACAAAATGCAAAAAATACAGCTATCAATTCTGTATTTCTTCAACAGCATGATTTAGAATTTAAACTAGATTTGAAATCAACTGTAACTGAATTTTTTTTCTGGGAAAAAGAGGTACAAATGAGATTCTACCTTCGCCTTCCCCAAATGGCACTACTTAGCTCATTTTTCAGAAGCAAGTACAAGTAAATACCCCTCCCATGACCCAGCTCTCTACCCTTGCATAACAGTGGTTCTGACTCTTCGCATTGTAGCCCAGTATTCTGCCAATAAATTGCTACCTCAACTTTTTAAAGTTGGCATTCTTATAATGATTAAGTTTCTGCCAAAGAGTTTATTACAAGAAGTTTGTATACAACTTCATCTACAATTTATTGAAATTAAGTTTTCTGCTTTTACAAACCATATCGGACTTGTCTGTACCACATGAGGAATGAAATTAAATCTGGGAATTGGTTTAAGTGTATGAAAGCCCCTATTACTGAGAACGTTAAAATATCTTTTAAAACTAGATTAGTTATTTGTCCTTATTACTTTTAACATGAATCATAACATGTTGGAGAAGAGAGACAATGAGCCACTTTGCATGTATCATCTTGAAAAGTAGCTTGCGTTGCCTTTGTGATTATGGTTTGATCATTGGTTCAAATTTATATTGTATCAATGTGGAGCAGTTTAGCCAGGCTAAAATTGGATGTACTTGATTTAAATGAAATTTAATTGGGGATTAACTGACAGCCACTCTGTTAGATTTTACAATTCGTATTAGGTGATTTTTTTTTTAAATCAAGCTGGTTTAAATGTGATCTAATTGAGACTACTTCATTTGATTTGTTTCTTAAGTTTTAATGTAATAGTTGGATAGCATATTTTGTTTTGCGTTTAGGAGGTTCCATTCAAAAAACTTTGGTTATACGTTTATTATTAGCTTTAAAATAGCATTTGAAACGTGTGGTTATGTCTACACCACGCAGCTTTTAGCAACATGCCTGTGCCCCTACAGTCGTGCTGCTAAAAGTTGTGCAATGAGCGACTCCTGCCGACAAAGCACTGTTCACACAGGCGCTTTTCATTGGTAAAACTTCTGCTGTTCGGGGGGGTGTGGTTTTTTAACACTCCTGAATGACAAAAGTTTTGCCAACTAAGTTCCAGCGTAGACAAAGCCAAAGCTAAAACGATGTCTTTTTTCTTCTAACTGATCCAGGAAGCAACTTGAGAATACAAAGTGGTACCACAACTGATCTTTAATGATCATATATCAGTGATTCTCACAGCACTATTACTGTGTATTACATATGCTTAAGTACTCACACACAAGTTATTTTCTTTGTTTCAGACAGATAGACGGACCAAGTGAAGTTACTTCAAGTTTTTCTTTAAGAGGAAAAAGGGAAGTTACCTTTTTGGGACATCTATACCTCCACCCCGATATAACGCTGTCCTTGGGAGCCAAAAAAAAAAATTTTACCACGTTATAGGTGAAACCATGTTATATCGAACTTGCTTTGATCCACAGGAGTGCGCAGCCCCACCCCCCGGAGCACTGCTTTACCTTGTTATATCCAAATTCGTGTTATATCAGGTCACGTTATATCGGGATAGAGGTATATTTGCTTCAGGTGGCTCCCTCCAGGGGAATGTACTTAACATGCAAGACTACAGATGGACTCACAGTAAAGCCATCCAGTTCATATGACATTCATAAAATACAGCTTTTATCACACAACAGAAAGCCATACAAAGATACCAGATATCAACACAGACTGACTTAAACTTCGAGTCATGAGGCAAGCCATCTCATGCATCTTATTTGGAAGTATATACAGTGCCTTACTCTTTATTAGGGCATGGTAAATTTGATGACTGAAATGATACTTCAAGTGTTTTCCACCCAATTTGGAATGCAATATCAGTTTTATATAATTTTATTCAACAAATATCCAGTTGTTTTGGGTCTTTGCTTTGAACACGTCCCCAACTCACACGGAAGAGGAAGGATAGACAACAGGTGCTTGCAATATCTTACACTAACCCCAAGAAACTGAATATCACAATCATCTGTCAAAGAAGTTATTCCATTTATAAAAATATATGGATTTATCCTAAAAAGTATTGGTAACTGTTCAGACTTCAGAGTAACAATAATTCTTGATATTTGTACTTTCCCACCCCAGTTGCTACTGTTCCCCTTTCCTTAGGAGCCATCAACTGTATAAGGCCAATGTTTTCCTTTAAAACATCCACCTGTAGGAATCCATATGTCTGATCCATCAATATGGGACATATTTCAATAGCAGTCATTTCTAACCACATAACGAGTATTAGTCGTGTACTGGAACCAGACAAGCTAGAAGCAGTGAAAGGGCCTAGTTTCCACTATGTCATAAACCAGTAACACCTTTCAAAACTCTCTACTATTAAAATATGAATTGTGTACTTAAATGGAAAAATTCATCTTTGGTTTTCATGAACACTTACCTGGTCCATGTAAATTCCATGGGCAGTGGATTTGCATCAGCATTACACCGGAGCTGAACATGCTCTCTTCCAATGAACCAGTTTCCATCATATCCAGTTACTGAAACTTCAGGGGCATCTATAAAATATGTAGAATTTCACATGCCAATACTCACTCAAAGTTTTTTAAAAGGAGACGTGCATTGTTTAGAATGACATGTCTACATGTTGTATTTAACTAACGGTATGGTAGTGCTTAATCTCCAATGAGCAGTGGTAGTCCTACCTGGAAAGCTTAGTAAATGACATGTATACACAGGTGGTTGGCGTCAAAAGCTTAAAGCAAATCATTGGGCCCCATTAGTTTTCAGTTTGTTAACTGAAACAAGCTGAGATAATTATATGGTCTTTACATCAACAATGCCAATTTTTAGCATAATGCAATGTTAACGTCAATAGTTCAAATGTACCAAATTCTGTGAATTAAAAAAATTCATATTACACAGTGGTAAATGATGAATTGCACATACGACATGAGTAACTTTTGGCTAATTATTTATAATGTAGTAGGCATCTGCACTGTGCCTATGTTAATACTACTAGTCAAACCCACAAGGAACTTTAGTGTATTCTGTGTTTAATTTTGTTTTATTTCTTTTCAAAGGCTCAAAAGACAATTATTAGTGATAATGGCTTCAATCTGAATGCCATCTTCCCAAACTTCTTTCAACCCCTCAGTATTAGAAGTCTTGACCCTAGAATCTCATCCTAACCCAGCTGTAGAAAATGTCTGACAGTTTTAAATACACACTTATTGTAAGCCTTCCACTGATATGCTTGGGGAAAATTCATGGTATACTGCAACATAATGTAAACATTCAAATATAATTGACATACCAATTGAAAGTCTGCTACAGTAAAAAGTAAAGGTATAGCACACTGAAGTAATACAAGATCAGAATTCAGAGTAGGATCGTTGCTCTGAGTCCAGGACAGCAGGCTCAACTACTTCCTCCAAATGTAGGTGGCACAAAGATTGAAAAGGAGAGCAAGACTTGAAATATAGCTCTCTTCTCACTGAAGCCACATCTTTCCAACTCTTATATTGTTTAGTGTTATTAATTTATGTTTGAGGCATATTATGGATATTGGTTATTGCTACTGGGCTAGGCCAGAAAGGTTACGTTATAGAGACTGGCAATTTTCTTGTTATGCCTGTCTCTCTTCAGCTATTGTCATTACGAGTGTTTGGAGAGAACAAAGCTGCATCCTAACTACTCACTAGTGCAAATGACACTTAGAGAGTAGCAGTTTAAAAACTAGTAGTCTCTCTCAACAGGACTGCCTCAGTTTTCAGTTAATATTCATTTTATATTTAGACAATTTTTTTAAAAGTGATAATTTCCTTATTTGTGTATCAGGGCACAGGGCCTGGATGGAGTATTTACAGTTCTCACAACTTGCTTTTTATATTTATTTATGACTACTCCAGTAAAATACTCTACTCAGATTCAAGTGCAGTGATCCAGAACCCAGCTGAAGACTGTTAATATACGTTGAAACAAAGCACTAAGCACAACTGTTTCTCTATCCATGCTCAACACAATTTTAGAAGAACACTAGGCAAGGAGTATGAAGCCCCATACCTTTTTATAATTTGTTTTGGAAGGTGTTAAAGTTTATTCATTTCCAACTAATATTGGGGAAAAGATGCATAACTTAGTCTAAAGTTCTTTCCAAATTCAATTACAGACAATAAAACTAGCCACTCCAATATAGACTGTTCTAAAAATTGTTAAAAGTTCATTGATTCAGTAGAATATATTTGTAAAGAATATTTTTGAAAGACAATTCTTATAAGTTTTTAATAGTGGGTTTACTTGATAGGCTACTGTAAGGTTATGTTAGAGGAGGTTGTGTATGACTTGGAATAGGTCATAATTTTAGTCCTAATACAATTTCAAATGTTTCCTGATTCATGTTAATAATTTTACTATTGATCGCATTCTCAGACCATAAGTTCATTTATTATGGTATTTCCCAAGATGGCTGAAGGCAAAAAAAAAAATCAGTAATTATACTTAAGTCTCAAGGTCATTTCCACGCCCAATACACCAAATCATTTACAAGTTGTAAGCATAAAAAGAAACCTTTGTTTAAATTTACTGAAAATTCTCTTTTAGTCATGTGTTTATGCCACCAACTAGTAACTGATGGTAAATATTTAATTTTTTGATCCAACAGGTTACAGCAAGGGACCTGATGTTAGTAAGGAGAGAAAGTATTTTTTTTAAATCTTTTCACCACTCAAGGGCTTTTCTGAAATATTAAGTTAATCTAATCCATCAATAGATGTAAACTACAATCTTTTTCTAGTCTGAGATCTACATCCTACACTTCCTTTCCCCATCTCCTGTGCACGCATTAGCGTGTTATAGTTTAAGTTTGAAAATGGATGCCTAAAGCTAAATTTTGCATCCTTAGGAACCCACATTTTTCTGGACTTTTGAAAACTCTGGCCATATATTTGGTAGCCCAACTTTAGGCATCCATTTTGGGTTATGTGGACTAAAGTTTGTAACAGCACATCAAAATGACAAACATAGCATACAATGTAAAGTTTTAAGAAATTCAACTTATTTATGGTAAGTTAGAAGTTACTCTTCATTGGGGAGAAACTGACCGGAATTTATTTTGGGGGCAACTCTTGTCAAAATCAGCAATCCACCAGAGCACAGCATTATTACTGGTCAATCTAGGGAGATATGCTAAGGCTATGTCTTACACTGCAGTTCGAACTATGGTAGCGTGAAAAGGACTGCACACCAAGTGCTGCATTTCAACTCCCCTGTGTGGATGCTGTGGGTGTGAATTAAGGTTCCGGAATTCACATTAATGTAGTCCTGTTTTAAGAACCTCTTAGTTCACACCCACAGCATCCACATGGGGGAGTTGCAGATAAGCACTTGGTTTGCAATGCTATTCACACTCCCATAATCCAAACTGCAAGGCACTGTAAACAAGCCCTAAATTTGTTAGGGTTTAATCTGTGACCATCAAGACAGTTTTTCAGGTAGCCAGAAACTCAACAGCAAAGGGCAAGAAAGAGGTCTTTTATCATTTTATTTGTTACTGAACTGAAATTTAAGTACATATGCCATACTTTTTGCTTGTGATATGCTAACAATAGTAAATATGCAGAATCCAAAATTATCTGGTCATACACAGAAACTTATTTGCTGCAATAAAGACAAAAACATTGCTAACAGATGAAAGTTCTGCATATTTCAACAGCTGAGATAGAAGGTGCAGTTATGAAATTATAAAGAATATTCTGACAAGGTAGGCCTTAGGATCAAATAATGAGGAGGGCTTGGCAATTTATCTTCTGTTACTTGTTTCTTTCAGGGACTTCAAGTTTAACAAGCCAAAAGATCTATATTAAGAAAAAAAGTAGACTTCCAAGTTGAGGGATTCTCAAGTTATCCACTCTCAGTAGTGTAATGAGTGAGCTGGTTAAGCATAGTTACCCCTTAACATTTTTTCATCACTGAAGTTTTGGGAATATCATGCCTTATATTATTCCAAGTGGGAAATGATAATTACCATTTCAAGTATTTTTAAATACTTCAATTGTTTCTGAATGGAAAAAATAGATTTTACATATAACAAGTCCCTGTAAAGCTGAAGAAGAGGAATTGAGTCCTTTCAGCTTCAACATCTGAGTATTAGTCACATTTTTTAACAAACAAGTCCATGAAGAAGCATATGAGGAATATAAATGGGTAATTAAATCAAGTTAATTAAAAAGTTAAAAGGTAATGTGTCTCAGCAAGTAGGGCAACTAATTGGGTCTCAGGAGACCTGGGTTCTACTCCTGGCTCGGCCAGTTGCCTGCTGAAAATCCTTGGTCTCCCTTCACCTCTCCATGGCTGTTTCCCCATCTGTGTGATGGGGCAATGATACTAACCTTCTTTGGACACTGCTTGCAGGTCTACTGATGGAACGTACTATAAGGCCTAGTTGTAATATGAAAGAATAACAGCTGTAAAAGCAATAGTTAACTTGTTGTATACTTACATAGTATGTCCAATGTGTAAGGATATCTCATCTCCTTCTCCAAAGCTGGATGCCTCACAACGCAAGTTATGCGTCTTCCTCTGGCAAATTTGGTGGGTATGAGTTTGTACTGACTGACAACTGTCACAGTTTCATTTGGAAATAAAGTAGAACGGGATTCCATTTCCCCAAGACCACCTTCCCAATCAACATCTGCAGCAGGTTTTCCAGTGGCTGCTGTACAAATGGCTGCTATTGTCTGATTTTCACCATCTATTAAAGAGTTTGGTCCCTTTGTTAGGCTCACAATGGGTTCAACTATTGAAATAAAAAGAGTAATTAAGTATGTTTTCAGTCAAGACAGAAAAGTTGAATTAACGTCACTTCATTTCCTGTATGTACATTTTATCCCAATAGTTTACAGCTACTAACTCGTTTTTAAGGCCGATTTGTTAACCAGCAGGTAAAGCTGATGACACAATGGATACTTTAAAGTAATCTGAACAATTGACAGTTCTGACACCCCTGTGCTGAACATTGCCAGGGTGGACTGATTTAAAATCAAAGTGATATAAATCAAATTTTAATCAGCAAGCAGGAAACCTTGTTTTAAATCATTTATTTTAATCTAGCTTTGCATCTGTATTTGATTTTCCCTCTCTAAGGTAAGGTTGATAACCATTAAAACATGTGAACTGCAACTAAATATAGCCTTTAGGCTACATTTGGTGGGATTGGTTTTACTAACCAGGAAGACACTATATTTTACACATTTACTTAAGCAATTCTGTAGCTTAACTTACATTTATTCAATTTTTTACACACTTCATAGAAATGTATGATGCACTTATCTACAACTACGCATCTCCTGCACTAGTGTTTTCTCAGAACCCAAATCATCTTTGTTGTATACCTGAAGTGCTACCACCTAGCTAGTTTCATAGATATCGGGGTGGGGTTTTTTTTTTGTTTTTAGTTGAAGAGCAACAGTACTAAAAATTCTTGTTCCACAAGCTATTAAACAAATCAGACCACGTTATGTCCTTTAGCCTACTATCTTTGGTAGTTAACAGCGTGGCTTGCAGCATTATGCTCTGGCCATAAAACAGATTCTTTTTACTACTCAGAACTAAGCTCTTTTTCCCCCCCCCCCTTTTTTTTTTAATATAAATATAACTATCAAGACAATCAACATGCAAAAACCCAACATCACGGAAGACCTGAGAGATGCCCAAGAATCAATGACATCCAGGAAGGCTGAACTCATATACATTCAGGGAAGCCTCTGAAGAAATCAAACTTTTAAGTGCAAGGAAATTTAGTCTACTTATGAATGTTATGCCAGTTACAAATAAGAGATTTATTTCACTCCCATGCTACAAGGTACTAATGGGGAATATCTAATTGCCCAAGCTTTTGTGAACTTTGTGTCCAGAAGCATCTCTACTGCAGTTTATATTTAAAAGAGAAAATAATTCTTACAGTAGTCAGTATTAAAAGTCAAGCTCTCGCTTAATTTGTATATTTTATTTATAAATAAGGTTCAATTATGCATCTGCCTAGTGAATACAGTAAGTCATCCACCAATTCTTGACCTAACGTAGAATTCTTACTTAATCCAAATGTAGTCTATTGTTTAAATAATGCCACTTGCAGATGTCACTTGTACAGTGACACGAGTTCTTCAAGGTGCATCCCCCTATGTGCACTCCACTTCAGGTACATCTTTGACATTTTCGGTAGCAGTGCCTGTTCAGCACACAAATGTGGCTCCAGACCTCGTGTCCCGTATCAAGGATGCACAAAGCAACGCAGACAAACGGCCCTCGGTTCCTTCTCTATCATGAGGTCCCAAAAGACAAGACTGCAAAGCAGAGGGGGAAAAGGGCAAACAATGGATCACCTATCAAGACATCTCTAAGAACTTCAGTTCCTGTAAAATTAAACCACCTCTCCTTTCTCAATTAGTGTCCTGATGGGTGCTCCACTTCAAGCAACTGCCAACCAGTATCCATAGGAGGGAGCGGCTTCAGAGTCGGATTTAAGACTGCTGACAAAACCGCACTGTCAATAGCAGCATCTGATCTGGAAGTGTGTACCAAGACTCGTAGTTTGGAAAAACTGAACTGATGGCCAAGTTGCGACTTTGCAAATTTCTGTGACTGGCACACTTTTCAACAGCGCCATAGAAGTGAACTGAGATCTAGTTGAGCGGACAATTACTCTAGAAAGGGACAGAACATTAGTGATCTCGTAACAAGTCAGAATATACCCAGAAACGCATTTTGAAGTCTTTTGGGTGGAAAGTGTAGATCCTTCTGATCTGTCCACAAAAGAAACAGTCTGAGAGTTTCTAAATGGTCTGGCTCTGTCCAGATACAAAGTTAACACCCTTCCAACATTCACCGTATGGAATGCAGATCCTTCACTGGACTGGTGTGGCTGGAAAATTGGGGGGGGGGGGGAACCGACACATACAAAATTGGGGAGGAAACTATATTTGCTTGGTTAGTGTGGAAATCAAAGAATTTTTAGAAAGAAGTTTGAGATGAGGCTGTAATAAAATGTTTTCCTTAATACTGTGAAGGGGGTCCAATATCAATGCCCCTATCTGGCCCATGGCAGAAGTGATGTCATTTTAATAGGTAAGTGGAACAGAAAACAACTAGCTAGAGGCACAAATGGAGGTTTCATGAGGCAGTTAAGGACCAAGTTCAAGCCTCATACCAGAGTAGGTTGGCTTATTTGTAGGAATAAATTTATCAGTGCTTTAATGAACTCTGTCATTGTGGGGAAGGCAAATACTGAAGCCCCCTCCCCTAGTAAATGGAAAGTTGTGATTACCACCAAATCTTTGACAGAACTCAAACTAAGGTCTGACCACCTTAATTCCAAAAAGATTATCAAGAACAGCAAAGAAGGGAATTGGTAGGAAAAACTGCCAGTGAAAACACCGGCGATGAATTCTCTACTTTTCAAAGTACACCTCTACCCCGATATAACGTGATCCAATATAACACGAATTCGGATATAACGCGGTAAAGTAGCACTCTGGCGGATCAAAGCAAGTTTGATATAACATGGTAAGATTTTTTTGGCTCCTGAGGACAGCATTATATCGGGGTAGAGGTGTAGCTAGCTCTGCTACAGATCTTTCTGCTGTTTAATAGGATCTGTTGTACCTCTATCGAGTAAGAAACCTCTATTCCCCAAGAACCATCAAGGAGTCAAGCTCTGAAAGGAAGAGTGCCCAGAACTGTGGGATAACAAATGGAGAATGATTGGAAGGAGGAAGGACAGACACAAAGTGAGACAAATCAGTTAAGGAATGTCTCTCAGCCAAATCAGTGCAATTAGGATAACCCTGGCTTTGTCCTGCTTGATCTTCTTCAGCACCTTCAGGGGCAATAGTGTTGATAAATATGCAGAGAGAAGGCCCTTTGTCCAATATGTGAGGAATGCGGCCCCTATGACCTGATGACCTTCTCCTATCCCCACACAGAGCAGAATTTCACACTTTATTTTCACAGTGGTTGCAAAGAGGTCCACTTCCAAGAGTCACCAGGTTAGGAAAGTATGCTCGAGTCAGAGTGTCGCACTCACACCTGGGCAAACCTGGGAGAAGTGCCTGCTCAGGTGGTTGGCTCTGGTGTTTTGTATGCCTGGAAGTAAAAGGGTGAGATAAGCATGTGCTTCATTGTACACCAGTTCCTTAACTTCACCGATTCTGCACAGAGGGAGGCTCTGCACAGCACAGCACATCGTCTCTCACTTCATGATTTATATAAAAACACCAATGCTATGTTGTCGGTCATGACCATAACAGACTGGTTCCTGAGGAAGGGAATAAAGGTGTATACAGGTATTCCTGACAGCTCTCAATTTCAGGAAGTTGATTTGGAGACAAGTGCTGGGCTCACTATTTGCGCTGAGTTGTGTGTCCCCCTGTACGTGCACCCCATGAGGAATAATTTGAAGTTAGTGATAGCAGGAGATTGGGTGAAGGGAACTCCGGTACATACTTTGGACAGGTCCTGCCACCGACTGAGTCAACCCAATACTCAATGAGGGACAGATACTATCTTGTCTAAACTGAACTTGTTCTGAGCCATCCCTGGAACCAGCAAAGATGTAACTTGGCATGCTGCGTCACAAGCTGCCATGTGTCTTAACAATACTAGACAATTTCTAGTCTGTGGACTTATTTGAATTTTTAAGGGTGGTTTGTATCAAATCTGTCTCTGGCATGGTAACCTTTGGCTATTATGGCACCAAGAGAAGATCCTAGGAATCCAGTTGCAGTGGGGTCAAAGTGGATTTTTGTTTGTTTAGCTCAACTCCTAACGTGTGGAAAAGGGACAAAGCTGTCTTCACTATAAAGACAAATTTGCTGTAAGAGTGGCCATTGAACAGAATTATGATGGAATGGAAAGACAACCATCCCAGGTCAATGAAGGTAGACTACTGCCAGGGCCTTCAAAAATACCCTCAGAGCAGAAGAAACTGATGCGAAGCACAATACAAGTGATCCTGGTGGACTATGAAATGAAGAAAACATCTCATGGGAGGGGTGAATCATGATGTGAAAATACACATCCTCAAGATCAAAATCCAAAAACCAATCTCTAGAATACAGCAATGGAAAAATACCTGCGAGTGTCACCATCCTGAATTTCTGCATCCAGAGGCTTTTTTGGACCAGAATTCCTTCCCTCTGCTGGACTCGAACAGCTTCTATAACCCCTACACATGACAGAAAGGACTTCAAGTCTCAGTAAATGCTCATGAGATGGGTCCATGAAAAGGAATAAGGAAGGAGGGTGAACTGGGGAGATGGAGGTGAAATGTATGGAATAACCTGAGGCTATAAACGCCAAAACCCATTTGTTGACAACCAAGGCATTAGGGGTAGGGTATGTAAACAGAAATTGAGTTATTGGCTGGAATGTAATAATTTTAATCTGCACATTTATATATGTAGGTGATATCGTCGCTGGGGTCTGCTAGATGGTCTTGGAAGGTTCCAGCAAAGTCTCATTTACTCGCAATGCCACTTGTTAGAAGGCTGTTATGTGTAGAATGTCTAACAGCTTATGATAGGACTCTTCAATCTACTCCAAGTAGATCTTGACTTAGGCAATTTGTTTAATTAGCTCTTCAAACCATCTGGCACAGTCTGTCAGAAATTGGGGGAAGCATCACAGCCTCATCTGGTGAAGATAAGGAGATATTAGTTAGCAGGGTGTCCTCCCAGTATGCTTTTGCCCTCGAAGACTCTTCCTGTGCTTGAGGCAGAAAGAACAGAAAAGCATCTCCCTTGGTGATCCTCATGAGAAAGGCAAGGAGCTCTTGAAAACTGTCGGTGACATGGATCCCAGAGAACGCACTTTTCGTTTTATCACTAAAAAGATCAGCTTCTTTGAAAGGGAGATCCTTGATGGTGTTTTTGACTTCCCTCAGGAAACCACAAGACTGAAGCCACAAGTCCCTGTGCATCTGGTGGCCAAGGAATGGGTACTCCTGAGGGCATTCTGTGCCAAAAAATTAAAAATTCTGCAAGTTTTATTTGTCAATAAATGCAGAGGCTTCAGCAGGGAGCAGAGACCACTGGCTGCATGAAGGTGGGAGATCACCCTGCAACTCCCCGACCCTCCAGACACAGACTCAGTGGTGAGGCTGCACCTGACCCAGACAGCACAAAACCTGGCCCTGCCCCTCTGCCCCAGGTGTGGGGCCCTGCCCCTCTGTCCCAGGTGTGGGGCAGGCAGGTTCAACCAGGCAGGATACAAGTGTGGAAGGGATCAGTTTTGGGGGGATACAGGTATGGGCTGAGAGGATTCTGTGTGGAACAATCTGTGTGCAAGCAGCTCAGTGGGAAGTGGGTGTCTAGATTCACAGAGGCTTGTTGGGGGAGTGCAACTCTGAAGGGGCTTTCAGGTGAAGATGGTTGGGGCTCAGCAGAAGGATCTGGGTGCTGGGGGAATAGGGCTTGGTGGGGTGGGGGTTTGGGTACAGCTAGTTGGGGGGGAGGGTCAGTGGCCTGGGGGTCTGGATGGGGGGGGACTCAGGGAAGCTCAGTGGGGGATGGCCTGGATGCAGGGGTAGGGGTCCAAAGGCAGGGGATCTGGGTGCAGGGGTCTCCAGTTGCAGGGGGTTGAGGAAGTCTGGTGCGGTGGGGTTCGGGTATGGAGAGCTAGGGGGGGTTCTGGGTGTACAGATGAGGCTCGGAAGGGGTGTCTGGGTATGGAAGGTCCGGATGCACAGGGGTTGGGCGGATGGGGGAGCAGCTCCCTGTGACCTCCCCCACCCACAGTTGAGGAACGATGGGGTCAGGAAGCAGGGGAGCATGCTAAGCTTCCTGCATCTGGGGGAGGTTTCTGGGGGTGGGTCTGAGACAGCTCTAGCCATTCCTTGCAGGGGAAGAGAAAGTCCTGCCCTCTCCTGTCTCCAGCCCAGCCGGGACTAGCAGCTGATCCCAGCTCAGGGTTGAAACCACTGGCTAGGATGTCTCCAGCCCTGTGGTGATTTACCTCTCCACCGGCTGCCTGAAATGATGTACCTGTGCAGCTAGGGAGTGGTGTGTGACTGCTCTTGCAGCTTTTCTTTGCTTCCCTGTCAGAAAGTCATTTTTCTGCGGGGAAGCAAAGAAATCTGCAGGGGACATGAATTCTGTGCACTCACACAGAATGGGATGCAGTGTCAGCTGGAGGGCCAATTTTGCTACTAATTTTCTTCATTCACTAAGGCCTAGAGCTGGGTCTGGTCATCTGCAGGGCACTTGTACTTAAAACTCTGCCAGCCTACTGTACATGGTGAAGTTGTATTTCGCCAGCAGAGCCTTGCCTGCAGGTGCTGACATGCCCACTCCAAAGCCACCTGAATGACCAATGAATTAGAAGCCAGGTGTGTGAATAGGAAATCGGTCCCTCTAGCCAGCACAAAGCATTGTCTCTTGGCTCTTTTCGGAATGGGGGCACACAATGCTGGTGTGTGCCTAATGATCTGGGCTGGTTCCAGCATGGCCTGTTTATAGGAAGGGCCACATGCACTCTCCCTGTGGCTGAAGGATGTGCAGGAGACTATGTTGGGGGTCCTGGAATTCCTCCAGTGGAATTTTTAAGTTGGTAGCCACTTTCTGCAGAAGTTCTTGGTACCACCAGTAGTCATCTGGTGGAGAGAGCAGCAAAAGGATGACCACCTCATCTGGTGATGAGGAGGCTCCATTTGGAACAGGCGGTACCGATTCCACATCTTCCTCCTCATATACCAACAGAGCTGGTTGGCATGCTGAGGCATGATAGGATCCTTGCCATGGCACTGGTTGTCTGTGGTACATGCCCCATGGGCTCCAGTAGGGTCAGAATGAGGGGTCCATCCATCTGGGAGGGCCCATGGGGAAGCAGTACCAGGCTTCTTGGGAGACGGGAGGAGGAGGGAGAAGAGAATGTCAGCCAGGCAGATAAGGATGCTTCGGCTGCATGTCCAGGCTCCTGCACAGCAGTGGATATGTCAATGGGGCTACGCCCTGAGACTCCTGAGCTGGATACTGGTTCGGTCAGAAATGGCAGGACTATCAGTACCAGAGGGCTCGGTCCGATGGACGGGAAAGGGGCCTCTCCTGCAGCAGGAACAGCAGTTCATCCTCAGGTATGGGGACATCGCAAAGAATGGACGGACCCATGAGGAGTAGACACTGCAGGTATAGCAGGAATACCTCCTCTGGTGTTAGGAAAGTTTCTATATCTTGAGTCCACGGGGTGCCTGTTGAGACTCCAAAGTGACCTGGGTCAGCATGCTGGCAAGGCAGCACTGATGGAGCATCCAGAACTATTCTTGTAGACTGATGCTCTAAGTGTCCCAGTACCGAGGTCACCACTGGTCCCAACAGATCCTGCTTCTTTGCTTTACCCTCCAGCATTGGTACTGCTGGATCCAAGTGCTGCATCTCACCTGACCTAGTACAGGTAGGGGAGTGAACTAATCTCTTGTAAGTAGTCCACTGTGTGGGTCTGCTGTTATGCCCATAAGAGTGTTTCTTACTTTTGTGGTGGGGACTGTCCTTAGGCTTCAGTGCCAGCAGCTCCACACAATGGCTTGTGCTCAGAGGGGCACTACAGATCAGTGGAGGCCACTGTACAGGGCAGTCTCCTTGGCCAGGATCAGAATGCACCAGGGGCTTCATTACCTCTTCTATAAGGAACTTGCAGAGATGTGGCTCATTCTAGTTCTGGGTTGGAAGGCCTTACAGATGCCACACTTCACCAAAACGTGTGCCTCACCCAGACAGAGGCACCATTAATACTCGTCGCTAATGGAAAATGAATGCGCATGAGAGAGACAGTTCTTGAAGCCTGGGATCCTTGGCATAGTCCCCAGGTGACAAGGGATTGTGTTCCTTGACCAGGGAGATGTTTACTATACTAAACTACACTATGAAAATTACAATTATTTACACATGTGCACCCACTTGTGGAATACACATACGGATGGATCATCACTCGAAGAACTGTTGCTTTCTGGGTCTGAAACACCACATTGCCAAAAAAGTGAACACCTTTGATAATACATCTTTCTCCACCTTCCATATCCTTCATCTTAACAGCAATACCTTCCATCACAGAAATTCAACAGGTGAAGAAAAGCTACAAGACAACACAACCATGAATAGAATTGCTCAAAGCAGTAAATATATACAAAATGTATACAGAATTTATTGTTCTCTGAGATCAGAGGAAATTTTATATATATATAATTTTTTTTTACAAGAGAAAACCATTCCTTTTATATTTATCACTTATTTTCTAAAATCCCCTTACAGTTTTAACAGCTTTTAAGCTTTCTGCTCCATTGAATACCACTAGATGTGTGACATCTTTTTTTCTTAAGAAGACTAAATAGCTCAAGTCAAAACTCAATTATTTGGTAAAATCCAGTTCAAGTGAGGCAACTAACATTTCAAGTAGACAAAACACACTTCCTCAAGAAAAGTATCAAGATTGAAGTTAGGAACCATCCTGCTCAAGATGAAGCCTACAGGAAATCTGAGGAAGAAAAGGAAGCATGGGAGAGACTTAAATGCTAAATTCTTGGAGAGAAGGGCTTGAGGGGCTATACAGTGCAATGTAACCAACTCACCTAACAAATAATAGCAACAAGGCACTATAAATTAAATATTAGACAGTAATAGACTATTCTGCAGTCCACACAGACATGGGGAGGAAGGAACAGATCTCAGTAATACATCAAGACTCAATCAGACACTGCATTCCCCATGAATGGATGGTACCTATTGATAACTCATTTTAACACTTTCCCAGATTAAGAGCAGCAGCTAAAAAATTGAGAGAGGCAAGTGCTTATCACAGCCTGTCTGGAAACTGAAGTAGGATTCCTCATTTAAGACAGGACTTTGGAGAAGAGCTCTTTGTCTGACAACACATAGTCATACTTTAACTCCACCAATATTTAAGGACATCTCACTTTACTGGTCAAATCAAAGGTTCCCAAGTTCACACCTCCTAAATACCTGCCCATCAGCTACAGGTTAAAGTCAAAATGTAGCATGACCTGTGTCAGGTCTAAACTCAAAACGTGTATTGTTCTTCATGTTACTCTAGTCCTGGAGACTTTCTACCCACACAACATGTGTCTCGTGGGTATTACACAATGCACCATCTAAGCCACAATCACGGTCTTCTCTGTCCTTACAATGACAGTCTGAAGGGCAGAGGTCTTTCTGATTGCCCTTACAACAAACAATTGCTTCATATCCAACTATTTTTCAAGGTGCCCCATTCCTCCCCTCACCAACAGAGGCCTGCAGTTGACAAGCAATTCTTTTGTGCCTTACTTAACATGGAACGCTTTACTCATTCAGCCTTTTAAATTAATTATTTACCGAAGGAAAAAAACTGAGAAACTAGAAACATGTTCCTTCAAATCCAAGCTGTAGAAAATATCATCACACAAAGAAAACTATAGTCCATATTTCACAGAACCAGTTCTATGACTTACTGTGCTAGTGGAGTAACTGGGAGACAAATACCAACTCAAAAAATTAATTCTAGAGCTATGTTACAGTCACTGCCACACCAAACAGGTCCCTGTGTATTAAAACTAACATTATTGCTTAAAATGTTTAAGATACATTATTCAGCTATTTTCAGGAATTTCTCCATCATACTAGAGGTTTCATCAAATATTTTTATTTTGCTTAAGTACAGCTGGTCTTTTTTACAAAAAAGTTGTTACAGCCAAGAGCAAAGTTCCTTACAGAATGGAAACAATGCATCATTTCACCTCACATTGGTGAGGGTTTGTCTACACTTTTTTTCCATGCATGAATCTCTAGTCAGAGTTTTAGTTAAAATTACTAATCTATAAGTAAACTAAACTCATTTTAACCATTGTTCATGGCATTAATATCAAACAAATAAGAAAACATAAGAATGTGGATTAGTAAGACAAGGCCCTAGTTAAGTTTTTACTTCAAGCATTTTAAATACTCAATTGGGGGGAGAGGGGGAAGGATGAACAATTACTTCATATTTGCTGGAGTGCCCTCCCTAACCCTTTAATGAGCCATTAAGTTTCTTTTTAAAATAGTACACAGCAATTTACTTATTTCACCATCAAAAGCCTTCCTACAGTCATTTAGTATCTCATCAGATCAATACACCTGGAACATCCTTAACAAAGCTCCTTTAAATCACATATTGATTTTTCCATTCAAGTCAGCTATATTATTTATTCAAAATTTCAGGCCAAACTTTGTTAAGTTGGTTTTTTGCCTTTAGTTGAATTGTTTCTAAAATTTGAGAAGAAAGCTTATAAATAAAAATGCTTGAAATTTCTCCCATTCATGTGCAGTTTATTTTAAACATGCTAGAATGTTAAAGTTTGTTTTTAATTAACTGCACTATTTTATTACATATTTGTCAAACATTTGACATAGCAGCAATTTCATCTCAGCTTATTGTAACCCATCCGAGAATCTCTTCACTCAGCAAGCACTGACCAGTATATTAATTCCGTCACTTAATGTTTATTTTCTCTTTCTTGCACCTAAGGCCCAACTGTATTACCTACCTTTTCTTTTTTTTTTTTTTATTTTTAATGACACACACTTATTCTCTA